ACCAGAGGACCTTGTGCTGCATTTTTCGCAGTCGTTCCTGGCCAGGTCTTAAAATGTATATAATCACTTGGATTACAAACCCAAACATTCTAATATTAATTCCACCAAGTGAAGTGCAAGAAACCACATCATTCAAGTCCACCTTATCACAAACCGCACACCCGATTACCTATATATACATGAACTTACGGTTACAGCTCAACAGCTGGCCTCTGTAGCTCAGATGGTTAGAGCGCTGCACCGGAATCGCAGGGCCGTAGGTTCAATTCCTACCATAGGACCTTGTGCTGCATTTTTCGCAGTCGTTCCTGCATGGTCAGGTCTTAAAATGTAATAATCACTTGGATTACAAACCCTAACATTCTAACATTATACACTTACGCCCGTATTCTAAAAGCTCACTCACACTCACACTCAATGAGTGGAGGTTCAATCTGAGCTTTTCGTGAGTGTCAATGCTGTTTTTGAATAGCTGGATGGTGAATAGTCACATAGTAAGGTACGACACTAACCCTCCAGCTATTCAAAAACAGCATTGACACTCAAGAGAAGCTCAGATTGGACCTCCACTCATTGAGTGTGAGTGTGAGTGAGCTTTTAGAATACGGGCGTTAATGTCTGCTCCCAAGAGTTTCAATTGTAGTCATTTCAATGCAGGTAGCTGTCTGAGGTGGGCGCTACTTTAAAACCCAATTTTAGGAATTTCCCGTTCATATGCACTCACCTTGGTGAAACCATCTTGCGTGTGTCAGGGTAAGAATATTCAAACACCATCGTCTCCGTAAAATATTTTTCAGGAGTTCCATGGAAGTCAGGAACATCATCATTTAACATCCGATTCAAAGCAAAAGTTGATGGGAAACCATTTTATGAAACTTTACATTGCTGCGGAAATTTCAGGACGGTCAAAGAAGGTATACATAATAGATTTCTACAACGTTAAGTAAGAACACACCCTTCTGGAAAGTACTTAGACTTGGCTATAGAGTTTGGTTTTGGGGACTGAGATATCCGCCTGTATTCTAAAAGCTCACGCGCAGTCAAAGAGTGGAGGTTCAATCTGAGCTTCCCTTGAGTGTCAATGCTGTTTGTGAATAGCTGAAGAGTTAGTGTCGTGACTTACTCTGTGACTACTAACTCTTCAGCTATTCAAAAACAGCACTGACACTCGAGAGAAGCCCAGATTGAACCTCTACTCTGTGACTACTAACTCTTCAGCTATTCAAAAACAGCACTGACACTCAAGAGAAGCCCAGATTGAACCTCTACTCTGTGAGTGTGAGTGAGATTACAGAATACAGGCGATCGACTTTAGAATCCTTTATGTTGTTACTGATGACCTAATTATGTAAACTATTTTATATTATCCAGGATAACTGTATGATTTCGTGAATGTGTCCATCTGTAACAAGATAAAGGACTCTAAACCCACCACGAAAACGAGGCTCTACTTCTTGCACTGTGCGACCAGGCCTTGTCAGCAGTTTTTGGGTGGCAAATCGCACAACAACAAAAGATGACAAGTATAGCAGTGATTTAGTAATTGACTCCTATTCTTGTTACCGTCTTTTTCCCCATGCGGTTTATCACCTAGAGTTGCTTGCAGATTACCAAAAATTTGAATCAAATACTAAAGTAATTGTTTAAACAATGTAATATGTAGAAGCGAAGTCGAGCAGTGATGGCAACACCGTTTTTAGTTCAAATGAAACTTGTTTTGTTGTCTTGGCAAAACTCATTCAACCCAGCTACCAACGCGATGTGAGCAATTGGCTTGATGTTGGTATTGAGTTCTCTTCAAGGCAAAGTCTGGATGGAAAGTTTCTGTACTTAGACCCGAGGTGAGTTACTTTGTCTCGGTGCTGGAAATTTCCGACAGCGCCAGCAGCCCCGCTGACAGGGCATGTACTAAAACCTGAACGATGGACGCCCATGGACGATAGACGATGGACGTTCATCGTCCAGGTTTTAGCACATGAAATACTATCATAATGAAGAGAAAAGTGGGATGAATATACGGCCGAAAAGAGAAAACCAACGATACCAAAGTTATATCAAACGTACTGCATTTTTAATTAATTTAATAATTTTGAGTGATTTGTCAATACAATTTCGCTTATTAAAACTGCACTTTAAAACCTTAAAAATAAAATAGTTTGGGCTCAAAATACTATCAAAATGACGAGAAAAATTAGTCGAATCCACTGGTATACGGCCGAAAACGAGAAAACCAACGATACCAAAGTTACCAAGAATCGAACGTGTACTGAATTTCTAATTAGTTTAATAATTTTGAGCGATTTGTCAATGCAATCACGCTTGACTTTCAAAGGCCATAAATCGCTAGAATTCTGTTGTTTAGTAATACATTTGACATCCGTAAGTACAATTTCGTACGCTAAATCGAACGGTGGTATTTTTGTCCTTATTGGGCGCATAAAACCAGAGACGAGGCTATTAAGGCGCAGCAAGAAGTCAATCGTGAGAGTTCGAGATTAAAATAGAAAAGAAAACTTTCCTCGAAGAAAGGAATTCGGAAAACGTGAAGGATTATCTTGAGCGGCTTGTCTTTAAAAGGCCATAAATAGCTAGAATAGAAATCAATTTTGAAATCAATTTTCCATCCATGAATACAACTTTTCACGCTGATTCGAACAGTGGTATTGTTGTCCTTGTTTGGCCCATAAAAGTAGATTTAAAGCCTAGCACCCATAAAAGTAGAGATAAAACCTAGCAAACAGTCGATCCTTGGATAAATTTGGAGCACGTGCAAGGAATTTTACTAGGCGATTAAGAAAACGTATTGATGCGAACAAACTAACAAACAAACGGACAAACTCACAGGCAGAATATAATGCGGTGCCAAACTTGGGAACCGCAATTCAAAACACTAAAACCCGCACACTTCCGCTCCTGTACTTTGTTGTCATTTATTGTATATTTCGCTGTGTATTAATAATAATACTGATATTGCAATACTTGTAACAGAGAATGGCTTTTGTATAAAGTAGCGTTGGATTTGTGGCAAGATGATCACGCTAATCATACACATGAAAAAGCGCAAAAATAGCCAACATTCTTTCTCGTTTACGTGGAAATGCAGAAAATATCGAATGTAGTGAACTAAAACTCTTTCCAGCTTCTGTCACCTAAATATCTTTTACGAGGTCAGTCAGTCAGTCAGTGGTGCCACCAGAGTAGTACAATTGCATGGGGTGCAGGAGGGGGAATGTCGAGCGCCGATGGCGCGAGACACTGTAGGGGTCTCGCGCACAACGAGAACATTTTGAAATCTTGAGTCATTGAAATTGGGATTTCCGGAATTGCGTGGAGTATAAAGTACACGAAACACGTGATCTTTCACGACAACACCTATGTATAGCTGCATCAAAGTTCTATACAGCCGAATCAAAGTTCACCTTGAAGAAAAGGGGGGCGTGGCCTCCCGAGTCCTTTCCGGTAGAATACCGTTGATTTTTAGTTTATTGGTGTTATTGATTTTTGAGTTTATCCGTCGATATGAAACCCTTAAATGATATTTATTATCAGTATTATAGCGGAAAATAACTATAATGGAACCGCAAGAACAAAAAAGGATCCAATATGGGAAAATGCACAACTGTCAATGAATATTCCTTTAACGCAAAAAATGAAGAAGCAGGAAAATAACAACAAAACAATTTATTTTCGTTTTAGTTATTGATCATATTCATCTCACTTTTCTCTTCATTTTGATAGTATTTCATGTGCTAAAACCTGGACGATGGACGTCCATCGTCCACGGACGTCCATCGTCCACGGACGTCCATCGTCCACGGACGTCCATCGTCCACGGACGTCCATCGTCCAGGTTTTAGCACATGCCCGCTGACAGGAAATGTTTTACAATTATCCTTCGCAGGAATTTTTTTACATCTTGTCATCTTATATACTGGATATTATATTACAGGGCCGTAACAACCGGGGGGGGCTGCCCCCCCCCCCCAATAATTTGCTAATAATCATTCTTTTTTCAAAATCTTGCAGACCTTTATCATTTAATCCATGCAGAACTGCAAAGAATGAAGATATTACCCATACTTTCCTGCAACTTATCCAAAATATAGTTAATTAAATACGCCTTCGCCCATTTAGTGCTACTAAATTGTAAATTTTGACATATTAAAACGCTGTTTTCTGACCATCAGAACTCTGTCAAATCTTCCCCAAAGTCCAAGAAATGGCAAATTCCCTCGGGCCTTCGGCCCTCGCCAGCCCGCCAATCAAAACGAGCTTCCTACGGCCTTGAATTTACTTCTTGTTTACAAACGCGTTTTACAAGTCGAGATTGGGCCGAGATTGACGTTTATCACAACCTGCGGCACCATACGTTCTCTGAAATCTGACGTTTTATATTTGACTGACACAGGGAATTTTTATTTACCGATTTTGCTGCCAGGATGAGAAATATATTTTCTTGGCCTGCTCTGTCTGTTTCTTGCTTCACAGATTTGGTGCTTTGGTCACGCACATTTATATATTTAGGAAAATGGAGCATACTCTGAGCATCATCATCATTCATCAAGCATGTACTTTTGTATTTTGATAAATTTATTTTGTCAGTGACTTCATTTGATTGTAAAACTAATTTAAATATTTTTCATAAAATATAGGAGATACTTATATTTACTGCGTATATTTGCAGGTGTATTCCTATCACAGGTTACCTTCCTTACGAGATACTTGGATCAATGATGTATGAGTATATTCATTTTGATGATCTGGAAAATATCAGAATAAGTTTTGAAGCATGTAAGTCTCACATCATTCCATTTTAGACGCATTTTGAAGTATATTTAACCAACTGTTTCTCACCTTACCTGCGGTCAACACAAAATTGTTTTTTGAAGCAGTACAACTTTGTTCGAATACATTACAGTGCAACCTTCCGGTAAATACGTCACTTTGGCTACAAAGCCTCGTTGTCGTGTATATGATATTCCTACCAGGGACCTGTCGTTGCATTTTTCGTAGCTGTTCCTGGTTAGGTCTAATAAATGTACATAAATTTCCACTCAATAATTTCCATCAACAAGACCCTTCAACCATTGAATGAATGAGGAATAATAATAAATAATTCATGAATGAGGTTCAGATTTGACTTCCACTACCGCTACCATTAATGAACTATTAACCAATCAGATGCGTACTGAGCCAGCGAGAGGTAGTGGTAGTGGAAGTCAAATCTGAACCTCGCTATTTAATAGTCAAATCCAAACGTGTCAATCACGAAAACGACTTTCTACAGCCAAAGTGACGTACATTACGTTGCAATTTTTAATGGAGCTAGAAAACGTTTTCTTGTTAATGTTTAAATATTTTAGTAATCATATTTGAACAAAACATAATGATAAAAAAATTTTCTTTATTAACCTTTTTGATGCATATATTTGTGCCGTTTGAAAAACAAGTTCTCGTGAGTTTATCGACTAACTCAAATTGCATTCTTCCTTCATACACCTGGGTTGTATAAAGACTCAACTAGTTTTCCAACCTCGTTCCCAGAAGAGGGAAGAGCCTGGGAACGAGGTTGCTAGTTTTTAAATGCCCGTTTTGTAGTTAAATAATAGTTGGCTCCAGGGGCGTTTTTTTCAAAGGTCCAAAAGTGCCCTTTTTGTGATGGAAAGTGCTCTTTTTGTACAAGCTAATGTTGCTGCAAATACTATATTAACATCGATGGCAGGGCTTGAATTTTATCGCGACAATTGCCGTAGAGGGAGAGAAAAATGCCGGGGATTTTTTGCGGCAACAACTGCAATTTTTTGCCGTATAGTGTAATTTTTATACTATTCACCGTGCATTACTATTTTGATATTTGAATTCAGATGTTGATCAAATCATGGTAAATTACTATAATTTTAGTCTCAGTTTTCTTCGAGAAAAAAAAACACTTAAAGAAATACGTAAACATATTTCTAGCTTGTCAACAATCCAAAGTAACAATAAACTTAAATTTTTATTAATTTGAAAAAATGCCGTGGAAACTGTCAAAATTGCCGTAGACAGCTGTTACGTTCTACGGCAATTTTTAACGCCATTGCCGTCGATTGTGATTTAAGGGAAATTCGAGGCCTGATCGATGGTGCCCTTTTTGTTTGGAAATTTCGATGTTTTAAAAACAAATTTGGTCAAAAACGTTCATTGTACGTTACAATTCGGTATGGTATGATCGGTATCATTATGGTATGGTATGTATCATTATCCAAAAATGCCCCTGCAAAAGGCCTCCCCCCCCCCCCATCTTTTGATGCTTCCTACGCCCCTGGTCAACCGTCAAATATGCGATTCTGATAGATTAACTTTAACTGTATACTTTTTTTATAAAACCGGTCCCTGCATTGGAAAGTCTTTGGAGCACTTCTGTGTCTTTTTTGCCCAATTTTCACTCTACCATGCTATTAGCACTGCATCGTGTAGTGCCTGTAACACTAATTTCATGTGTCAATATCCTTTCTTAATATATATTTACTCCATCCCACCACCGCGCCATTGAAATGTTTCTGTTCTCACATGTATAGTGTTAGAAGATGGTGAAGGCGAAACTGAAGGTTATCGTATCCTCACTAAAGGATCTCAGTGGATAGTAATCAAAACAAACAGTTGTATTTCTTACAATCACTGGAATTCCAAACCAGAGTTTATTTGTAGCACCCATCAGTTGGTTAGGTAAGATCTACTGTTATATAATCTTGAACTGTCTGTGTCAGTGTAGGTAGTGGCAATAATATGAACAAGCTTTCGTTGATAGGAATGCAACTACCTGAAATTTATACGGAGAATTTCGACGTTTCGAGCGAAGGCCCTTTAAGGTACAAACTTCCGAGATAATTTATGCTAATTTATAGGTTAAAATGGGCGCATGCGTAGTTGACATTAGTTCGCGCATGCGTAGATTATAGAAAATGGCGTGAATCTAAGAAAGATTTTTTGTAAAATTCTATAAAAGAACAGTTTTGTATTCAAATATATGTGAAATTCATTCTAAAATCGTTACATGGTTCTTCGAGCCGGATAATTCTATCAAAGGAAAGATGAGTCAACAAACAAAAGAGAAAAAATCGAGAACAGCGCACCGATCTTACACAAGAAAGCTCATACACAAAGCTGGAGAAGTTTGTAACAACTATGATGGAACAAAACCTGGAGAGATAAAGTTGGAGGGTTTGAACGAGATTTATCGGATAAACTTACTATCTTAGATAAACTGGATAATTCAATAATCGAAACTGTAGACGAGGAAAAGGATATCGAAGCGGAAATAAACGAATCAAGCGAATTCCGAAGTTCTATTCATGAAGCAATATCGCAAATAGATTTATGTTTGTAGGAACGTAAAGTCAAACATAATGGTGAGCATGATCCAAATGGCTCTTTGAGTTCAAGTTCTGTGGTTAACAGTTCATATTCTGATGGCAAGCAAAATGTTCGCCTACCAAAGCTGAATATCGGCCCACATGGATGCCCTACTTAAATTGCCAGGAGCTAATACAAATTCAGATACAAAGAAATTAAGAGGAATATATGATGAAGTAGAGCAACATGTACGCGGTTTGAAAGCAGTCGGAATTAGCAGTAAGCAGTATGGGAAATTTCTTGTTCCTATTTTGATGAATAATAATCCCTCAGGAATTGCAACTGATAATAACAAGGAAATTGGGAAAGGAAAAGTGGGATTTAGATGCGTTACAGAATGCTTTCAAGGAGGAACTGGAAGCTAGAGAGATGTGCGAATTTGTGCTTTTGATGTGTGAATTTTTTTCAGCTTCAAAGAATGATGATATAAGGAAAGGTGGACGTGGTCGAAGGTATCCAACTACGGCAGAGGCATTACTAGCTCAAGGTCAGTATGAGAAGTTGATCTGTTAGTTGGGTCAGATTTCTATTGGCAGTTTATGACTGGAAGAGTCCAAAAGGGGGAGGCTGGGCCCACTGCAATTGAGTCGCACTTGGGGTGAATTTTATCTGGTCCATCAATCTCTATGAGGTTGGGTTCACTTGTTAAACGGCTGCGGGGTGAATCTGAGCTCCTTATAGAGTATGATAACATTCTTAAAGAGCAAAGGAAAACCGGTGTGATTGAAGATGCCCCAGAAGGCCCCGTATCAGTAGGCGAAGTTTACTATATTCCCCACTACTGTGTTGTCAGACAAGACAAGACAAGGACACCACAAAGGTACGTGTGGTGTATGATGCATCAGCAGAATCAAAGGGGATCTCATTAAATAACTGTTTACATTCTGGTCCCTGTCTTGTACCCACTCTATTTGATATTATGTTGAGATTTCGCTGTCATCTGTTTGCCTTGGTGGCAGACATAGAAAAGGCATTTCTTCAAATTGAGATTGCACCTGAGCACAGAGACTTTCTTCGTTTCCTGTGGATAGATGATATTAGTAACGAACAGCCAAATATTATTGTCCAACGAATGACAAGAGTTACATTCGGAGTTACTGCCTCACCATTTCTGTTAGCAGCTACCTTGCAATATCATATTGTAAAGTACTACTCTACTGAACCCAAAATTGTAGACAACCTGCTTCGATCGTTATGTTGATGACCTCGCCTCGGGTGAAGATTCTTATCAGAAAACATATGAACTGTACGAAAGGGCAAAATCTATTCTACAAGAAGGGGGATTTACCTTACGTAAGTGGGCGACAAATAATTCAGACTTGCGTAGCAAAATTAGTCAAGATGTCGGCAAGGATGATACAAATTCGAGCACAAACGAAGATGAATCCACCTACGCCAAAGCAACACTCGGTTCATCATCCAAGACTACTGTTAAAGGAACTGAACAAAAGTTGTTAGGGTTGCTGTGGAACCCTGACATGGGTGTATTTATCATCAGATTCCAAGATTTAATCAAGGCTGCAGAATCGCTTCCTGCAACCAAGCGAAGTATTCTGAAGATCGTTGCGAGTGTGTATGATCCAATGGGATTTATATCTCCTGTTATACTTCCTATGAAGATGCTTTTTCAACAGCTGTGTATTGAAATGGGCGATTGGGATGCTCCATTGACATCACAATGTGAACGAAAGTGGCAGGGCTGGATAACCGAGTTAAGAAAGATTCCTGAGATCAAGATCGATAGGTGCTGCATAGAGGAGAACGTTTGTAAGGTAGAATTACACGGATTTTCGGATGCCAGCAAGGGAGCATTTGCCGCTGTTACTTACTTAAGAATCGAATCTCAAGAATCTGCAATGTTAACCTTAATCGCCGCCAAGACAAGAGTAGCACCGTTGAAACAACAAAGCTTACCGAGATTAGAGCTTCTTGGAGCATTAAGTCTTGCAAGACTTGTATCAGCTGTTCGGAAAGCCATTGAGCCTGTCATCCCTATCAGTTCGATCTACTATTGGACTGATTCAATTACCACATTGTTTTGGATACAAGGAACTAGCAAAGAGTTTAAGCAATTCGTGGAGAACAGAGTATCGGAAATCAGAGAATTGAGCGGCGTAGAGTGCTGGCGACACGTACCTGGGAAGTCCAACCCTGCAGATCTACCATCTCGAGGTGTTCGGTTGGAAGATTTAGCTGATAATAGTTTATGGTGGAATGGTCCAACTTGGCTTCACGAATCTGAAGAACATTGGCCTCAATTCAAGAATGCAGAGCCTGACGAGGCAGCGGAGAAGGAAATGAAGTTGAGCGAATGATCGTTAGCGACGTCGGACGGTTCTACACACGTGTCAGTAACTCAAGTTCAGAACAGGTATAAATCTAGAACTATTAATCGATCCAAAAAGATACAGTTCTTCATTAAAATTATATCGGGTTACAGCTCTGGTAATAATATTTGCGAAAATATTGCAAGCGCGCAGATAGTCGACAGCGGAATCGTGTCACAACTGACGAGATAAAAGAGGCGGAAGTGCTATGGTTCCAAACCGTTCAGAGAACCACTATCGATGGTAGGAAATTCTCACAAGTTCAAAGGTCTCTAGGACTTTACAGCGACGATTCAAAGCTTCTACGTTGTAAAGGAAGAATATCTAAAACGGACATACCAACAAAAACGAAGAATCCGATTATTCTACCGAACTACCATCAGTTAACTTCGATTATAATTCGTGAGTGTCATGAACGAGTGCTTCATAATTGGGTGCAAGACACCTTGTGATGTTTAAGAGAACGATTCTGGATTGTCAAAGCGTAACTTGTCGTAACTTGTCGTAAATTCGAAGGAAAGGCTTATACACCGCCAACTCAAGCAGATCTTCCCAAATTCCATTTTACTCAAGATTTTCCATTCAGTCACGTTGGGGTAGATTTCGCGGGACCAATTTACGTAAAATCGGTTGCTAAAGGACTAACCGAAATGACCAAAGCGTATATTGCACTTTATACATGTGCAAGTACTCGAGCAGTTCATCTGGAATTGGTTCCAAACCTGACAGCTGATGCGTTTATTCGATCATTTAGGAGATTCATTAGTCGAAGAGGTATTCCAAAGTTTATATTGTCGGACAACGCTAAAACATTTAAGTCCTCAAGCAATAAATTGTCAGCAATATTCGATTTACTGGAAGTCCAAGAATTGTTACAGTCCAGACGAGTTGAATGGAAATTCATAGTTGAAAAGGCCCCTTGGTGGGGTGGGTTCTGGGAGCGAATGGTCAAGTCGTCGAGGCGTTGTTTAAAGAAAACATTAAAGAATGCGAGATTAAGTTACGATGAACTTAATACAGTTCTTACGGAAGTGGAAAGTGTACTAAACTCAAGACCACTGACGTATGTTGAATCTGGCGAAATGGAAGAAGCTTTAACACCTTCTCATTTATTAATGGGAAGACGTTCAATTTTGATGTCAAATTCTAAGTGTGAAGGAGAAACGGTAGACATCTGTGGAACGGAGTTAACAAAAAGAGCGAAGTATCTATGTAGGTTAACTGACAGTTTCTGGAACAAATGGCTTAAGGAATATCTTCTGAGTCTTTGGGAACAACATCGTGGCTCGTTGAGCGTGACGAAAAAAACATCTATCAACATTGGTGATGTAGTTAGTGTGCATGACGAGAACAGATCTCGAGCAAAGTGGCGTTTGGAAAGAGTTCATGCGCTAATACGTAGTACAGATGGGAAAATACGCGCTGCTGTTATTAGAATTGCGGGGGACAGCAAGAAACCAATGTACATACGGCGTCCCGTTCAGAAACTGTTTCCATTGGAGCTTAGGAACGAACATACCCAAGAAGATGAAACGGAGGATCGTAGACCAAGAAGAAAGGCAGCAATTGTCGGAGAAATAAAGAGACGTTGTGTTCACAAATAAGTTGTCAAGGCGGGAGTGTACGAACTTCCGAGATAATTTATGCTAATTTATAGGTTAAAATGGACACATGCGTAGTTGACATTAGTTGGCGCATGCATAGTTGACATTAGTTGGCGCATGCGTGGATTATTGAACATGGCGTGAATCTAAGAAAGGTTTTCTGTAAAATTCTATGAAAGAACAGTTTTGTATTCAAATATATATGTGAAATTCATTCTAAAATCGTTATACCCTTCTATCCAGTAACTCCAGACGAAGGGCCTTCGCTTGAAACGTCGAAATTCTCCTTAGATTTTTCAGGTAGTTGCATCCCTACCAAGGAAAGCTTGTTAAGATCTACTGTTGCCTTTCACACTAATTCAAGAAATTCCAAGAAATCCCTGATCAAATGGGAGATGTCCAATCTAGGTTTGATTCTGGGTGAATTGGCTTCTACAAAACAGTACCATGGCAACTATGACGTTTCAATGTGACCAATATAAACTTAACTCGAAGAGAACTTAGGCATCTCCACTTTTTATTTTAGGCGTAAAAAATGTTCTGTTTCTGGTCAGCGAGCGCGTCACTTTTAATAACGGGAACGGAGATAAAATCCTTTATACGAAGTTGACAAATTTGGTGACAGTTTAAAATTAGTTAATGTAACATGGTTGTTAAGTCTCGGTGTGTAAACGTATCCCAAGATTTAGATCTTAGTATAAGTGGTTATAATTGATATTTTTGTTGTTTGTTATTTATCTATAATATTAACGACTTTAGGGGTTAGGTGTCAATTGGGACAAAAGTCCTGTTCCTTTCCCATCACAACTTGTCTTTGTAAGCTTGTATTGTCAGTCTATTGTCAATGTTAAAACATAAAGTAAACGTAAATATAGTTGATCTGTAAATAACATGTAAACTGTGACAAACGTATTATATTATATTATATCATATTATATTATATTATTAGTATAGGTAATAGTTTCGAGTGCAATTTGGGTGAAACATGCACGTGTGAATTTTTCAAAGAGCATCAAAATAGCACGAGTCCGAAGGACGAGTGCTATTTGAGGTCTTTGAAAAACTCACGATTTTTGTTGTTACATTTTTGTTGTATCACTGTTGTTACAGATTTTTGCACCGCTGTTTGAGATTAACTGCACTGAAATCAACCAATCACAGTCGAGTAATATTTTTATGTAAATTACTATAACAATAAAAGCCATATATTGTCCATATATTTCAATGTTTATTCACATTTTTGAGAAGTGTAATATGTGGGTTCATTGTCATGCTAATTAGAATGTATTGTTTCCTGAGTATCATTTAACTAAAAAGACCTCATCTCTCAAAAGTGTTAATTAAACATTATATTTAACTAATTTTATGTATTTAGTTTGAAATGTTTTGAAACTTCAGTGAAATAGTTTGAGCAACCTGTTTCTTACGATGTGTAAAGTGTTATATATTGCATACATAATGTTTCACTTGGTAGATTAGTATGTACCAGGACGAACTCTACGATCATCATCACAGATCCAACTTGAAGTGCCAACCGAAAGCGGAACATTTCAGAGGACAGTGCTGCAGCTGCATTTAACTCTCTGCCAGATAGTTTGCGAAATTGCAAAGATTTCAACATTTTTAGAACAAGTATGAAAGTCTATCTCACAGACTTGGCCCACGAGAGGCTCGGGCTGGGGTATAAATGACTATGTTTTGTTACATCTGTTTTGTGAAATATGTATGTGCAGTGAATGTACTGTATAGATGTATTAACTCTTCATAGCTACTCATTGTAAATATAGTACTTGTTAATGTAGATTAGTTAATTTAGTGATAGAAGAGCCAATTCAATTTGGAATCGCTAGTAAATTATTATTATCATTATACACAAAACAATATAAAATTGACGACGAGCGTTATTGGTCACTGTAATTGGTCTGCGGCAAATATTTAAGTGCAGCGATTGATGTGTTTTGTTATTGCTTTTCTGATGCTGACTTTATCATTTTATACATGAAGAAAATCTGCCAAATACAGCAGCGGAGAAACGAAGACTGGTAGAGCTTCCAGTTGGAAAGTGGAGGGAAGTACGCCCGGAGCAAGGGCGATTGAATCTTCTAATGATGGTCAAAGTAATGTGTCATCTGAAGTTAACACGTATGTACATAATTTAATATCAGTTCTAATACTTTTAATAGAACCTCTGGAACTCCCAAGGGAAACGAGGCCGTTTTTTCAATTTAAGAAAATATTTAATAATATAATGATCGTGTTACCGTGACAACCGCTTCAAATACTTCATGTTTGGAAAATATAGTGGTTTTGCTAGCATGTATTTCTAGTATGTAAGTTAAAGCATAGTTTTCCAACTGTTGGAACACTCGCCAAACCTTTATTTTGTTAATCTAGAGCTTGAAATGTCTCCGTAATGTCTCCTGGATTCTTACTCTGGCGTATGCACGCGTAAAGAAATTTTGCATTAAGTTATTTTTCAACGGCTTATTTGTTTGAATTTGCTTCTCACATTTTTTCACACAGTTATTTGTACACTGATAAACATTGAAAGTGTGCAGTAATAACGTTTGTTGTGATAAATCCTTCATTAGTCAGAGCCAAATAAAACTTTCGAAATTAATATACATGCATGTACATCACTTACGTAAATATCCTGTCGAGCCCTAAGCTGAGTTAAAGTCTCTCCTCGTTTACATGGAATTCACCCTGGTGTATTTATGGCAGTAAAAATTTTCCTGGGTGTACCAGTAGTGTTCGCCTCTTCGGACTGCCAGACCCTCTATTGCTTACGGAATGTGCAGTGATAAAAAATTCATTAAATTAGGTATGGTTATGGGAAGTGTTCAATCCAACACAATCCAAAAGCCTTCATCTCCAAATGAATATACCGTTCAAAAATTCTTAGATGTACATTGTAATACATGTATATGTCAATGTATATACGATCTGTGATTTTCTCTAAAGTAAATTTTGCTCGATTGTGTTTCAGGTCGAGCTCGTCCTTACGAAATAGTCAAACCAAGGATACAGTTACCAATGGAACGTCCTGGATGGTTGAAATTACTCAAAATGGGTATCCGAAATCAGACAGGAATGATTCAATTCATAGTCCACAACAATCCAATGGGGTAACAAATGAAATGCCACCATGTAGTCCAGCAATTGAAAGTAATCCACAATCACCCGTTGCTGCGAGATACTGGTCAGGACAAAGTTCTTCTCAGAATAGCAGTTTTCAAAATCCTTTAGTTGTCATACCTCAATCACGACAACAAAATATTGAATGGTTTACCTCCTCTTCTGGTACCTCTAGTAATGTAGGAACTGATCGGTATCCACAGTCTCCCAGGGTATTACAGGAATATACTGAGTCTAATGTGAGAACTGATCGATATCCGCAGTCGTCTAGGGTATTGCAGGGATATACTGAGATATCTAGCACGCCGATGTGGCAAATTGCTGGACACCCACAAAGTTCCTCAGACACCCCGAGTGAGTTTTCTCAGCCGAGTTCTCAAATGCCACAAGGATATTATCCATCATCACCAGTGACCTCTGAAAGAACTTTTCAACCACATACACAAAGCTTGAGCGATCTTTCTCTGGCATCTTCCAGTTTGCCTCCATCCAGTCCAGTCGGTGAGAATTATCCTTTATCTCCAACAACTGCCCATGTAATGTCACCTCAAATGACCGCAGAATCTAGATATCAACAATCACCGTCCCCTACAGGATACCCTGCCACCCCTGCAAGAATGGTTAATTCTTATCCTCAATCTCCATGCAGTGTACCCCCTCATTCTCCTCAATCCCACAAAATGGATGAATATAGTCCATCGTCACCACTGTTACCAACATCTCCTCAACCCAGAACAATGCAAGAATATCCTACACAATATTATGCCCCATCCCCTCAAGTACCTGACAGATATCCCCAGTCACCAGCCTATTCCCCTAGATCACCTCACTCATCAGCACCCTGTAGTTTTCCACACACCGCTGATAACTTTAGTCAATCACCGTCTCGCTATCCTGCATTATCCCCATCCCCGGCACCAGCATACCATCAATCACCTGCAAGAGCCCACCATATCCCTACCGGAACCAACGAGTTATATAGGGCAATGTCACCTTACTCTGCTTCATCAATGAACGAAGGACGTACCTTACCAGGAGGTTACCATATGTCTCGTCAATCAAACACTACCTACCCCCAGTCACCACACGACTATCCTGTTAGATCCCCTCAGACACCAACTACCCCCACAGAAAGATACCTACAACCCAGTGTATCTCCCCGTCCAATGCCACATGATACCATAAATCATCCTAGATCACCCGAAAGCAACCTTCTACGATCTCCTGTATTACCACCTCCTGTGCGGCATAATGTACTCGGTGATCAATCTACACCAAGTCCAGTAGTGAGTAATAATATGACTCATTTTCCTGTGCAATCAGATCAACAACGCTCCAGATTGCCAGCAGAAACTTTGGGTAGGAATGATGGATCTTCAGAGCAGTTTGGCAAAAATAGAGGAGTACGACCACAGAGTTGGGAAATGTTCTCTTCATCTTGCATTCCTCAACATGGTGGTGGCTTATTTAACACCAATAGAACACAGAGTATCACTTGTGAAAGGCAAACTTCAGAACAGCGCGATCTGGGAGGGCGAGAACATCAGGCTTATCAACCAACACAAGGTATTCACAGTTGTTTAATTTATTATTTTATTGCTAATCATGTTTGGTGTAGGCGTAAACACCAGAAACGATATTGCACTCAAATTCACATATTCAAGACAGGTTAACTTAAATGTTGTTATATAACACTTAAAATGTCCTGTAATATTAAGCAAGATATGAATTAATGTGTGAAGTTGGAAATGTTAGTGAAAAGGGGATAAAACGGCCCATTAAACTGATTTGAATACAGGCGCTATTTCGTTTGCGATTATACTTTATTCCAGTGAATTTACAATTTTGTTATTATTTGTTTTCAAAAATTTTATTCTCAAGACAGTTTTTCTAGTTGTCAACATAATTTAATACGTTTGCTTGAAAGGACACTTACAAACAAAGACAATTACACAATACCAAATTTGAAAACAACAAAATGCGGTAAGCGCAATATCATACCAACCTCGTTCCCAGGGGTCAAGTGCAGCGTACCCGATTAGCAACCAATCGCTTGCATAGACGCAAGGTGTTTTATCAGCACTGATCAGCAATTAAAGGTACGTTTTAAAACAGGATTGGCAGGTTACATTTAAGGAATCTAATGCAATTACATAATGCAAGCAATTCAAGGGTGTAGTCTAATATAGGATTTGTAAGGAAATTTTTAATTATTGTAAAATCTATGAATAATTAATGCGACAAACAAATCACAGGTCACATGTGCCCACTTGTAACTCGCATTAAAGATCAGAAAGTCATGTTAGAGGGATTTTATGAAAGTTATGAATACCAATTCAGAAGTAGGGGTGTTTATGAAAGTTACCAATACCAATTCAAATTTTAAATGTATTACTAATGAAGTGTGAGATTTTCCCCATGAGCAGTGAATACTAATAAAGTAAACAAATAAATTCATTTTGCAAGTACGTTAAAATATTCACATGGGGATATCAAATTTCATCATACCATGCTCATCCTCGTCAATCCAAACCAAATTTGAATGACAATATAATATTTATTTTTAATTGCAGAACAAACGTTAACAACGAGGCCACAGGATTCCACTGTTAGCTCGGTAAGTTTGGATAACTTTCACATGTTTGGTGTTCTCTGTTAATGGCAAGCCAAGTCATGCCATGATAAAAATACTTTGGATTTCAGCGTCAGTGGAAGTCTGTGGCGTTGTAAGTTTAGCAACCCTGGGAGGAATGGTTCTCGTTTCCTCTCTTGATCGAGATAGGCTTTGCAGGAACAGTCAAGAACTGTTTACATCTATTTATTTATTTTATTTATTTTATTAATTTTTTAAAAATTAATTTTACAATTATATCAATTGCATGAAGGCTCAGACAACAGGACAAATAAAGTCTTGCCTGACATGCTACATTACAACACCATTTAAACTAACAAACTCACATTACACATCATCATATATGTACATAATTAAAATTCGCTAAAATGTACTTTTAGGAACAACAATGTAAAAAGGGAGAACGACACTCAGCACAAAATATTTTCCAAGTCCTTGGTCTGTCAACATCAAAACATGCATTACGTTTCTCAGTATAATGTTTATTACACTGGCCGCAGTCAGTGTCATGGAATGCCCTTGCTGTCTTTGTCTTTTTCGGGGGGGGGGGGGTTGTTGTCGCAAGTGTGACATTCCATTGCGGCATAATGGGCTCAGGATTGCGCAGTTTAGCTAAAACATGCTCAAAAGACGATTAGGACATGGATTAGGGTTAGGATTGGGCTTAGGACCAATTTTACACAATGTTAATCAGAACGAATTTCGTATTTAACTACGTTACAAATCTTAGACGCTGTAATTAGCCATTTCCCAATCGAGCAGAGGACTGGGTCTAGTTCATGTTTGGAGGGATGTTTGGAGGGACGTTTGGAGGGACAACAAGTTATAGTGAGCGAGCTAAATATATATTAAAAGATGCCTTATTATAATTGTTGCGTTTCAGGCTGCACAAATAACTTTAGGAATGTAGGAAAACTTCCTAGATGCCATATTCGGCATATTGTTTATTTTTTGTCCCTCCAAACAAGCGACTAGACCCAGTCCTCTGCTCGATTGGAAAATGGCTAATTGTGGGACGTATTTTATTATATTTCATTGCGCATGCGCGTGAACTTTTCTGTGTTTTTCGATAAGATATCGCTGAAACTCTATTGATTTTGTATGGATTTTTATTGTGCCGTACTCTGAATGTTTGTGATCATGAAGTGACGGCCGTCAAGAAGTGAAGAACATCTACATATTTCAAATTATTTTGTAGAATATTGCGATGGTATTTTACCAACTCCGCGAGGCCAGTGTGAACGCCTGAGCAGGCGTCTTGTTGAGTTTAGTTTAGTTTAGTTTTAAGCGAGTGAACAGTGAGAGGATTTTACATCGTCGGCCAGACTGTTCCATAGGGGTACAATCCCATTTTGGGTGGCAAATTAAAAATAGTTAATTAAAAGAAAACATGGCGTCAAAGCAAGACTGTGGCACTGACTGCGGCTGTTGCTTTTGTTTGAGCATTTTGAAGAATTATAATGCTCCACAGCTGTGTAGTGGTCGGTTGAATAAATTATTGGATAGATTTTTATGATACGTACTGCAAGACCTGAATAGTAAGACGGTCCTATGTTGCTTATGGACCCCTGAAGTTTCAAGATTTTATCAAGCTTAAGATCATTTTCACTTTATTTTAGATGCTGCCAGCTAAAAGCTCTTCGTACGTTAAAGCTCAAAGAATGATTCAAAATCAATTATTTGAGAAACAAAATCATCTTCAAAATGTTATTCAGGATCAGAAAGCACTACTATCTCGAATTCAGGAACAAATTATCCACAATGCGCAGTCCTCAGTACACGAAATTGGTGATTTGGAATCTACCAAACAATTTCAACAGCAAGTATATGATCTGGAGGTTGAACGAAAGCGACAAGAAACTAGACAGCAAGAGTTAAGATCTGTATTTCAAGAAAAGCTTAATAGTCTACCCGCTCATAAAAGTGATGGAGAAGTGCATAATAGTGGAATGTCTAGTTCTCATATGGCATACTCGCACAATGTGAGATTACGGCCGTTCCAACATGTGGCAAATACTGCACATTCATCTGGTGCATCTCAAGACCTTGAGAATAACAATAGCTACCCTGGATTAAATGCCAATGATTCTCCAAATATCCCCCAAAAAGCACGTGGTGAATGTCCTAGTGGTTCTTATGAATTTGTAAACGGACGCTCTCCACAACGAGTTCGACAGACAAGCACAAGTCAAGGATTTGAGGAAGATTTGTTTAGTGGCGTTCTAACTTCTGACAGAGGACAATCATCCGGTAATTATTACACACTCTTAGTGCAGTCAATCGATCCGCATTCCTCGACATCCTCCATTCCATCACAACCGAAGAGTAATGATGTGTCATTTAATGAACGTCAAGGCAGTACAGTAAACACGAGAGAAGGTTGTGGGTCATCTAGCAATCAAGTGAAGGATTATTTTTCGAAATTTAGTGCAAGTGAACTAGAAACGTTTCTCTCGTCGTCTTCCGTCTCTTCTTCGACATCATCGGAAAATGATGCATCAGATAATGTCGTTAAACAAGAAATAACAGCACCTTCAACTTATGACTCTCTTTTACTGCAACAGAAACGGTTACTTGAAATGCAAGAGGTAGGTAAAATTAATTCAATCTTAGGAAGATAAATTTTACTCTTTCTCTGATTCAATTTGCCCAGACCGCAAATATATCTGATATTATACCTGGTTGTTGTGGACTCACAAACATGAACACTACTTAGCTTACTAAACAAATTTTGAAGTGGTGTATGTGCTTAGGTCTGTGCCAGTGTAGGTATAGTGCCAATTATAAGAAAGCTTCGGATTGATAGGGATACAACTTCTTGAAAATATACAAGGAAAACTTCGAGCGAAGGCCCTACGTCGGAAAGTTAGTAGCCAATTCGAAACGTCGAAGTTCTCCTTGTATTTTTCAGCTAGTTGTATCCCTGTCAATCCGAAGCTTTCTTATGTACTCAGGTGAAGGTTATTTAAGGTTATGTTACTGTAACTGTCCACAACGGGCAAGCTGAAAATTTTGCATGACCACGTCGGCTCCAATAGGTGATACTTCAGAATTCAGTCTCGTTCCTCGTAGCTCAGTTGGTAGAGCATTGGACTAACAAGCCGAAGGTCACGGGTTCGATTCACGCCGCTGTCACAGAATAAAGACACACAGAAGGTCGACTCGGCCAAAAAAAACGTAACCGCTGCCACGCAGGGCCATAGCAGGGTGTATATTCATATCTTCGTGTTCTGCCCGACGGATTTCTTTTGAAAGCGATTGTTTTTACGATATGTAAACATGAATATATGAATATACCCCCCAATTATCGCGTCTAGCTACGGCCCTGCTGCAACGCCATGATTCGCAATGAGACATGGTCCTAGCCAGTGCGCTTATGAGAGGCATTCACCCCCTGGACGTCTACCATTTTGAATATTATTAGCATTTTGATGACGAATTACAGTTACCCAAAATCATAGGAAAAACCAAGAAGTCGATTTTCTGTCTGTATTCTGTGCCGCTGTCAAGCAAAATTTCAGCTTGCCCGGTGTGGGCACGCTCAGACCATAGTTAATGACAATCATGGCAAAAATTCCGTGGACACTTAACCTTAGGTGTAAACTAAAGTATTACTGGTCACATACACATGTTGGCGTCTTTTTCACCTCCGCTCCCCTCTACAATGTTGGTTTTGACATGCATTTCACAAAGCGTTCACCAAACCAATTTCTAAGCTTTCAACATTGAACGGGGGGGGGGGTAAAAGCTGTTTTGCGCGCGTGTATTCAAGGCAGGTATGTCCACAATAATTTTTGCTAGGATTGTAGTATCGTCTCAAATAAGATCTTGATTGTATCAGCACTGCTATATACAATGGATTTGTCGGCTTTGGGACAAACCATAATAAAACACTAGGACAAACCATAATAAAACACTAACATGCATTATTGAATAAGAGAGCAAAGCCTAATCAAGTCTAATCTGTTTTGTAATACTGTGATGCGCATGGATGCTGCGACTGAATAGACTTTCATCGCTTTGTTATTGCTGTAAGTAATGTAAGTGGAACCAACTTCACGACGTTTTCCCACAAACCTCATTTTAACTTCCGACCCTTTTTAGTCTCGAATAACCTTTGCTGCAAAAACTGATTAGTTTTTCGAGTTTTCTTCAACTCTATTAAACCTACGTTTTGTCGCTCTTTAACAATCTGGATGTACTTTTGTTGCCAGGAGCAACGACGTCAGTTGGTGAGACGACAACAAGAACAATTACTAAGGTTACAACAACAACAACAGCAACAACAACGAAGAATGTTTAATGAGCTACAACACACATCAGAGAATACTCCACAAGAACAAGAACAATTATTGCCAGAAGGTATGGTATAGAACAGTTCTCACCTTTGAATTTTGTACGTTTACACCTTTGGCAGCCAAGAAAAAATGTGTATTCACTTATAGGCCGTTTGCTGCGTCCCGCGATATCGTTCACTTTCATTTAACATGTCTTGGAACTGAAATATTTTTACGGGAACTAATACTTTGAAGCACGCTGAGTTCAAATCCGAAAAGTTCCCGCTCCGTAGACCCGCAGTTTTCTCACAAACTTCTATTTTATCTTCACTAATTTCACAACAAATATTTTAATTGTTCAACGACACGGATCGACGACGACACACGATTACGTCACTCAAAAGGACCAATTTCTATTAACCAGTCTTCCTTTTAACAAAAGACCGTTTTGCTCGAATCATTTTGAGTTATGTAATCTTATGCGTGTTGGACGTATCTTGTCTACAACTTTGAGAAAGTACAGATAACGCTTTCTAAAATCCTCAGTTCTATAAAATCACAACTAGGACGTTTATGGAAGCCCTCTTTCCAATAATATTCGCTTATCGCAGAAAATAACACCAACTGATATAATAGTTCAAATGCAATGATAAGTTACCTCTTGAATTACGTCTCGGAAACTGTGTTGGAAATTTAAATGCTGACCCATTACATAAGATTACCGCGTTTTACATCGTTGTACAAAACATTCTGATTGCATGTAAGGAATTATTTCAGCGTGTTCGAAAGTGTTAGTTCCCGTAAAAATATTTCAGTTCCAAGAGAATATAACATGCATACTTCAATCAATGAACTTTTTTTGGAAGTTTCAGATTTCTCACCAGCCAATAAGCAATAAGCCGATGGTTTTTCCAATGATGACGTTTGTCGAGCAATTTGCATCCCGCCTATCTACACCAAAATTTCGACAAAAACTAACTTTTTATTGAAGAAATTTAAACTTTTTTCAACGCTAAAAAGTATACTTTTTTCAACGCTAAAAAGTATATAGTAATAAATATATCCAAGGGCAAGGTGTTTTGCATCGGATTTTTTTTTTCAGAAACTAGCGTTATTTTTGTTGTTTCAAGCGACCGTATTTAAATGTGTGTAAATATATTGTGTGCATGAAAGAGTTGCAAACCTTAGGATATTTTCACATATTTTCTGGGTTCCCTATATGCTTACACGTCAGCAAAAGCGATGCCGACGAAAGAAAAAGTCGCTTCGCGCAAACAAATTCTCCAAGTGAAAAACAGATGACAAAGTTCATGTGCCTTCTATACGATTGTAGACTAATCTTGCTCTACGTTTCATTCTCTGTAGTTAGTGTGAATGAGTAAATAGTTGCGGAGTGCATTCTCTTCAGTTTGCTTATATGTGCTCAAAATGTTTCATTCGGCTGTTGAGAGCATTTTATAATGATCTAGTTTTGATTTTAGGTATAAAAAATTATTCTGCCTAATATTGATTATTTTTTCAATTCCTTACCGTATATATTATTTTACAGTTCCGTATATTATTTTGCAGGAGGTGTAATATCTGAAGATTCTAGTTCTGAATTGTTCCACGAACTGAGCAATGAAGACATCAATGTTGTAAATATGTTGCTTGCTGAGGAAGTTGGCACAGAATTATGGACCAATGAGTTGTTTGATAAAACCTCATGATGTAGATGGGAATCTGTACTGTGGCAGTATCTCTGGCACTTTATGTTATTCCCAAATGTTTCCGTAACAATCCTATCTAGTTTGCCCAGGACTGTAGAATGAACGAAATGTGTCATGCATTTTCATTACTCGTATTTGTAATTGATTGGTTGCATTTATTTAACCACGTGATAAAGATACAGGCAAACCTAATAGGATCGTGGAGAACTAAAAGCGAATCTGGTGTCAGGGACTGAGACAAAGAGTTTGCAATCTAGTGCTAATTCGGCTTAAGCTGTCATGATTGGTTCAATCAGTAAAGGAAAACCTTTCCAACACCAACAATAATTTTATACATCCGGCTTCCTAGTGGCGCCTCCAAAAGAGCAGAGGACTACCGAGCACTATACGACTTTCGGATCACTTTCCCCTACTAATGTTTCCAAAGCTGGGCTAAAGGGGATGTATTCGAGGAAACAGTGAAATTTTCAAAAGCTTCCGTTGTCTAGTTACCCGGCTTCCAAAAACTAACATGAAACTTGTGGGAATATATATGCATGCAGACATTTCTGAATACGTGTACACAAGTTGATGTCGTGACAAACGATTCTGGTATCATTTGAATATTACGGGGTACATTTTTTCGCTAACCAATCAGTTGCTGAAATTTGTTTCGCTTCACGCAAACAAAGTCCCCTAGTGGAAAAACAGGTTTTATCCGGCACTCTTTCCAACGCATTATAGCAACCAATCACAATGCTTCAAGCTTTAATTAGATTGCATAGTGCTTGCGACTAGTTAGCTTAGTTGGTTGAACATCACATTGAACGTCTTAGTTGTTTACTCGCTTATGCTTGCGTCGCAACTATCTAGTTCTGGGACCAATTTTTTTCACAATTTAGTGAAAAGGCCATGGTCTTTATAAATATATTGGGTGGGGTATTCAATGAAAATTGGGATGAAAGTAATAAAAAATGGACATTTTTCATAAAGATGGAAAGAAGGCTTCGGCTTTATAAGATAAGCTTACGCTTAAAAATTTGAGAAAAATAGCATGCGATTGCTCATCAACATTAACCAAAAATGTTACGCTGGTTTACACTTAAAATGGAAATCGCTACTTTTCAATGTTTTTAAATGTGAAAATCACGTTTATATTAAAATCTGCGTGTAAAACGAGAAGAAAATGAAAAGTTAACTTACCCGGAACCAACCAGCCAAGGTGGTTTCAGAAAAAATAGATCCACGGAATTGGCTGTGCTTGACTTTATTGATAAAATTACTAAGGCAATTGACGAAGGAAAATTTACTGTTGGTGTTTTTCTTGATTTGTCAAAGGCTTTTGATACAATTAATCACAAGATTCTGATAAGCAAGCTTGAACATTATGGCATAAGGAGAGTTGCTAAAACATGATTTGAAAACTATCTTTATGAAAGAAAACAAATAGTAAAATATAATGGTGTATTATCTGAAGAAATGACCATCAAATGTTGTGTCCCTCAAGGATCTATATTAGGGCCGTTATTATTTCTTTTATATATAAATGATATTGAGAATTGCAATGAATTGATTTCAGTTATACTATTTGCAGATGACACTAAATACTTTATAGTCATACTTGTCTTAAAACTCTAAATAAGATCATCCAGGTGGAGCTGGATAAAATTACGGATTGGCTAAGTGCCAATAAACTTTCTATAAATGCCACAAAAACTAAATTTGTTCTTTTCAGATCAAGAAATAAAAAACCTGCCCAAAGTATAAAAAATATTTCTATCAACAATGAAAATATAAAACAAGAAAAACATACCACATTTCTCGGAATTGTCATTGATGAATTTTTAACGTGGTATAATCACCTTGATTTGGTAGCGAAGAAAATGATAAAATGCGCCGCAATTATTTCAAGAATTCGACATACAACTCTGAATTCCTTAAAACTAAATATGGCGTCAATTTTAAAGCATCATTGATAATTGTATTTTAATTGACAATTTTTAACTATTATTTTATGTTTCTCAACCGGTAGATGCATTTGAAAAAGTAGCTAACTCTATAAACTAGAGAATAAAGCGAAAACAAAGTAATTTCGAGAGGAACGCCAAAAAGATTTTAGGTTTTGAACACTTTTCATTGCAAATACGTGACATTGAAAAAAATTGCCTCTTAATCATAATATATTTCCTGACTTTAAAAAAAGAACATTTGAACTGCATGCTAGATTATATTATGAATATTTAACAGTTATTCTACGAACTCGAGTCGAATATGAACTGATAGCCGATGAGGTGCGTAGCGCCGAATCGCCTATCGCTCATATTCGACGAGAGTGAGTGGAATAACTGTTGTATTATATACACAAGGTCTCAATTCACAGACTTTGCTTTTCGAATATTTTCAATATTTTTCTATTTTGTTTATGTTTTTATCTTCGCTTTTTCGGCCGATTATTTTTCAAAAATATATAGTTTTAACCATTTTAAATTTTAAACATTTATTTGCTATAAACCTGAAAACAATTTGTGGGAGTTTTTCATTGTGTTTTTAATCATGTGAAGGCTATAAAAAGCGACAACTTGCCGTCATCATCTTTATGTAAAACGTCTGTAACCGGTGTATAAAAAAAAGTAATCTAACTTCAGCGCGCTATTGTATGTGAATTACTCGGCGTATCAACAATTTTTTCATAGTCGGAAAGATCAGGCTTTTAGCTATTGAATGACATGTTTTCATGCCAAGTGGAGAAAAAATAAGCAAGTACGAGTCCGATAAAAAATGCTGTGCATAACAAAAGAAAACGCAATGAATCACGAACTTGTCGTAGCTTTATAGCTAAGATTTGTTCCTATACTTAATAATAATTATGATTATTATACATTGGAGTTGGTAAAAGCAATTTGATTGGCTAAGAGCTTACAGTTAAATCACGCAACCTACAGAAAATTCAGTTATCGGCTAGCAGATAACTGAGTTATCTGCAAATGAGCCTGCGATGATTAGCAAGCGGTATCTATTTAACACAAACAAATGTATAATAAAACAATTATTGAATTCTGTTTTTGCGATATGCAAAGTTATATCAAGGTCTCGGTAAGCGTTATCAGCCTCGCCTTCGGCTCGGCTGATAACGCTTACCTCGACCTTGATAATTCCGCATATCACAAAAACCTCATCCAATAATTGTTAAATATGTGCGTAGTTTATTGAAGTAAATTTTCATCAACTTAACTCTCAACGATGAAAATATGCGATTCTGACTAGCATTTTTTATCGGACTTGTACTTGCTTATTTTTTATCCATTTGGCATGAGAACATGTTATTCAACAGCCGTAAAAGCCTGAT